TATTATCTTGGATTTTTATCGTTGCTGTGGATATTGTGTACTGCCATCATGGCCGGCAAGTCGGAATGTCCTCAGTGTCGGGGCCCTCAGCCTAGCCCGAAGGTCACGAAGTAGACTTAGATAAATCAAACTCTTGTTAATAGCAAACATATACTAACCATCTTATTGCCTCAATTTTTCAAAATAGTCCACATCAGTCTCAAAAGCACTGTGATACTGCACCATTGCTACAAAGTCTATAAATTTATTACCACAATTACACCATCATTATCAACATCAAATCACATAATCATCATCATCATAATCACAATCACTACTGTACCATCTTAAACATAATACCTTATCACTAAACATCTTATGTACCATCTTAAACATAATAAACATAATATCTTATCACCAAACATCTTATCACCAAACATCATCATTACCAATACCATCACCATCCTCCTCCTCTCATCAGCCATCACCAACATCGTCATCATCGTTCTCCTTAACATCATTAACACCATATCACCTCCATAAGCACCACCATCATATCACTTCCATAAGCATCACCATCCATTAAGATCAGCAGCATTATCAACCACAAACTTTAGGATTTCTCTTAAGCATGAGATTCGACAAGTGTTAAGACAAGTCGCTGACTGCTCAAGTGATGACAGGTGTAAGTGTTTATCATGCGTTCATTTATTTTCTTATTTATACAAATCTCACTAAATGCTTAATCACTGGATTATAACTTGGAGGACTTTGTAAAACCGGTCGAGATTATAGTATTAACAACAAATGTACAAGTTGGTTTGTTATTAATTTGCGAGGATAACAATCTTCTATTTCATGTAAAATCCTTGGATTATACTGTAACTTGCAAGATAAATAAGGGCATGACATGTAACCAAAACAACACAGAGTGGTATCAAATACAATGAGAAACATCTTCAAAAAATGTCTTTATACCCTATCAGTTTAAGGAGTATACTAGAAATTGCAAATTGCAAGTGAAGTGCTGCGAAGTACAACTGCATGTTGATGTTCTTCGAACAAAATTATTTATGTGAGTCAAGTGAAAATAATGAATAATAAAAATATAACAAATTATATAAGACACGACCCATTGTCTATATTAGAACACTGACTAGCTGACGTAGAAACATAGTAAAAACGAGCATTGGTACCGTGTATGCCAGACTACAACAAGCGTAGCCTAAATGTAATAATTAGCACGCTGAAATAGGCTAGTAAATAAGTTTAACTGGGTTCGTAAATAATATTGGCCTCAAAATATTGTGGCTGAGACATAGGCCGATTAAACGTAGAAATAGGAAACCTAGAAATATAGTAAAAACGCTGAATAGTAATACTTGAGCGTCGCCACATGCGGACGTTGGTACGTGTAGGTAGTCTACAAACGTCGCCTTAAGTAATTGATTTTAACCGGCAGAACGAAAGAAGGAAACTCCACTTTTCAGTCGTCTTAGGCCCTTGTTTTTTGACAAACAATGACCTTTCAGAGGTCAAATTGCTGTCAAGAATATGAATTGGCTGCTTCGCAGCATTTATCTAAGAGTGGTTTCCTTAAAATCGCTACACTGTTGCTATAGTGTTTTCAGTTAATCGTTGAACTACATAGCAGTTTTCAATGCAATCAGGAAGGCTCCCTGATTTGACCGACCAATCAGCATCACCAAAAGCTATCGGCGATAGCATGTAGCAATTGTATGGAAATAAAGCTTTAAATATTCTATGTTGTAAAAAGTATAGTAATAAATATGTAGGCCTATATGCAATGTCAATTTTCCTTCTGGAACTCTACCATAAGTTTCAAATATTATAATACAGGGGAATTATGTACACTGCAATAAACAAACAATAAACAGACAGCCCATCCTCTACATTATCTATTATTTATATTATAACAAGCAATAAATGAAATCTTAAATATTCTCCCTTAGGGCTTATATAGTTTAGTGCTAAAGGTTGAATTTAACCACTATACAAAGTTCATAATAAGGCAATCATGGAGCTTAACACCTCTTCCGAAAAAAGGTGTGAGCCATATAACACGTAACCTACAGTATGTCATTTCATTATAATTTATTTCGTAAAATATAAAGACAAAAGGGTCTATGCGGTAGGATTGCCCAAATGCAAGAAGACTTGACATCGAGGGAATCTCCTCATAGCCCCACAAGAAGCAAATAACTGCTTAAAATAAGCAGTTGAAATGATTATATAAAAATATTCAAACAGTAAAAGGCTATAAAAACACATCAAGTAACATAATTAAAACTGCAAAAATAGGCTACAAATTTGTTATATAAAACAATAAAACCAATAGATTAAGCTGCGCCCCTTTAATAATGTTACTAAAGTCAAACAAAACAACAGCCAAAAACTAACAGTTATAAACTTATGTATTCGTGAGACATGCGACTAATTTCTGGCCATGCCTATTGAACATCACGTTCTGATTGGTCAGTTGTTAACTTTGATTGACATTCCGTATTTGCAGCCTCATTGCAGTGTCTATCGATAAAAATCTAGGCCTAGCCTAAGTTAGTTCCCCAAGATAAAAATAATTTGTAGAGTAGAAAGATGTAGGATATAGAATTTATTTCTGTTAAAAAAAAAAAATTAAAAAAAACAAGCCACCATTTCTAGGAACATAAAGGTGAAATGTGCTTGTAAACTTTCGCACTTCTCAGGTCGTTATGGTAATATATGATGTAGGCACAGGCGTTGCATACTCATGGTCTAATTGGAATATCATGCTTGGGTTCCGCACTCATACTCTGCCATTTCAGAAGGACAATCTAATAGTCAAGCTACATCTGAAAGTTGAAACAACTATATATGGGTTTATATTTGGATAAAGCTTAGCATATGGAAGCAGGCCTGAAGTATAAAATGGCTTAATTGAAGCATAGTATAGCTCTGTATACTAAATCCTTGATTTCTGAATAAAAATACAGCAACATCTATTGTAACACCTTCGGGACTTAAAAGTGTCCCCTTATTAATGTATGTGTGTCCCCTGAATAGCAGTTGGCTGTATTGGTAAAAAGATATACTTTCCCTCAATTCAGTTCAGTTCAGTTCAAAATAACATTATTTCCTTAAAAACGGGAATTACAATCTTCTTTGAAATGTAACAAATAAATAAGATAATTCCCTCAAAAAATTGTCCTTTTACCCCTTAACAGGGGAGTCCCAAAGCAGGGGTTTCTATTATATACATTCTTTATATAAATTCTTAAAGTCCATACTTCAAGATAAATTTTTCACTTTCATATAATCATTATTGTGTTATTGTTGATACTGATACAAGTGAATAAATATAAATATTTGACTTTTATTATGAAAACACAACAATTTGAGTCAAATTTCTTTTACAAATGATAAATGTGGAAAATGTAATTAATTGTGTTGTCACATAACCTTGATTCTTGCTAATTGCACAATTTGTATTAAATTACAACCTCATTGATTAAGCAAATAATAATTATGAAGGAAGTTATATAAGCTTTATACTAGTATATGACATTGATGTAACTGATGAAAGTATTAAAAAAATAATAAAATACAGCATGCACTTTGTGTGATATTTGCTGTCTTCGAGAGTTATTAATGGTTAAGTTTGTAGCTATGTCAAACAAACCAGACGATTAGCAGGAACCAGATAAATAACATAAAATAACATACGCGCTCACCCTTGCGGTTATACAAGAATATCTACATTCAAGAAGATGGGATCACTGGCCAATAGGAAACTGGAAATTGGTAAACGACAGAATCGTGCTCAACTTGCTAACTGATAGCACTTGCTAACCATTAGTGTATCCAGATCCTTGTAATGGTTAGCGCTAACCTATCGGGCATTCTCCCACGTGTGCTAATGGTTAGTGCTAACGGTTTGCTCCTGAACGGGATACTAGGGCTCTTTGTGAACCTAACCTGTATAGTTTGACCTTGCAATTATTCTGTCAAAAACTTTAATCTTTCAAATTCAGCCCACAATTGATAGCAAACTTTATTATCCTCACTCTAATGATGGATACATTAGTGAATGAATTACTAACATGTTGGTGCCAGTGTTCATCAGAAATAAAGGAAGGCTATAGGTGAAGCTGTATCAATTTACTAAAATGTCCATATGGCTATTTGGCACCCTGCCAACAAATAATTGGCATTAACCAGTTATATGAAGGCGTCAGTATATTGGTCTTTTGTCGTAAAACTGAAGAGATACTATAACAAGTATGAACAATGGGGTAGGATAAGACATGTGTTCCTACTTAATCTTCAACATTCATTTTTAAGAACGTGGATTAGCTATTGTATATCTTATTTTTTGTGTTTTCAAGATCTGTTCATATACGTAATCTGTTTTCTGTTACCTCTTACAACACAAAGCAGATACTTGTACACATGTACAGTATTATCAGGAGTATTAATTTGTATTTCTAGTATTTGGAAAAGTAAACATAACATAATTGTATGACACTTGTGACGCAGTAGTAGCATTGGAGGCTCCCAGAATATGCCAACAGAGGGTCCAATACGTCTGAACTAGGGTCTGAAATCAAAAGACTAAAACCCCTGGTGGAGTTTGGGGGCTTCTTTGTGTAGAAGGGTAAACAGTATGCTTTCAAACCATAGTATTTGTAATTACAATAATCAAAATAATTGGATGGTTAATATTTTTAGTTAGACGACCTTAATCTGACAGAGGTTCAGGGGCATAGGCTGGTTTCGACCTTTGTGGGGGGGGGGGGGGAGGGGTGAAGGGGGGGGGGGGAGGAGGGGTGAAAAATGAGAATGAGAAGGAGGTAATTGCTACCTGAACCCCCCTGCTAGTCCACACCACTCAGTAGTAGGCTGAAAATTTGTTTGAGTCCTATGGCAAGACACTTTCAATTTTACTTGTGCTTAATAACTATAAAACAATGGAAAATCCCGCTTGCATTGTTGCAATCTCAAGTAAGTAGCAAGTATCTTACCTTTTGAGGTGTTCTATATTTATTCTTACTGGAAAATCCTCTTATGAAATTAGGTGCACATGAATAGTCACATGGCACCCATGATCATGGCTGACATTCCAAGAGTGAGCTGGACCGGTATAAGTCCAAAAGATCTACAGGACATCTCACCTGAATAGAAACACACAATAAAGATAATATAAACAAAACATATTTTAATAAATAATACTTATTTGACCATACATAAGGCAAGATTTTATTTTACCTTGTTTCGCAAACTTACTTTTTTAAAGATTGTCAGAGAAGGATAGAAAAAAAAATTTGTTTCCTTACTTAGCAAACAGTTTTGCCAAAAACATCCAGACAGAGGAGAAAATAAAAATAAAACTTTATTGTTGAATGTAAACAGTGTAGTAATGGGATGGTTAAGGCTTTAATATATATAATTAGGACAAAATACACAAATTTTATTTTTGTAGATTTCAAGGCATAGGTGGGCATAATAAAAATAAAGAAAAATGTTTTCCCCCCTTAAATACTGTATGTTTTGCCAAAAGCATCCAGGTGGAGGAGAAAATAGATAAAAATGTTATTGGTCAATTTAAACAGTATAGTAATTGGATGGTTAAACGCTTCAGATAGATATTTTTAGGACAAAATATACATATTTATTTTTGGAGACTTTAAAATAAAGAAAAATTTTTCTTTCCCTTAAATATGTGGGGTAAAGCAGTGGCTGATCTAAGGAGGTGAATATGGTGGCTAGCCACCCCCCTTTGATTATACTGTGAAAAAAATGTCACTCGTCTTGAGTGTGTGCTTCTCGTGTGTGCATATTACATATAGCAGGCTACTCTGTTAAAACATTTTTAGATGCCATCTAAGAATGTCTAGCCATCTACTAATTCCAAAAAAAAATCTCAAATAGGAGGGCACGCCCCTCCCAAAACCATCCCACGCCCGCTCATTGCTTCTCACCTCCCATTATTCACCCCCTTAGTTTAAAGGATTTATCCAACTCCCTGCTGTAAAGTGCATAGAGGTATTTTACATTATACGCTATATAAGTTCACACTATTATTATTATTATTATTATTAATATTATTACAGAAGACCTAAGTAGATTTTATTGAAAATACCACAGAAATCATTGCAGATTATTATAAATAATTCAAAAGTTTACATATAATTATACATCATATAAGTGATAAAGTGATGAAACAATATCATCTTTTAGATACAGCTGACATCCATCCATTCCTTATATATTCACTACAAACGTCACAACATGTTACCTATTTTGACGTACTTGCATTACCATGGCAGCAGTCTATAGAGAATCTTTGGTTCGTTGAATGACAAAGTTGAATGAACACAGATAAATAGAGGGAGGGGACATTTTAGCCAACTATAATCAAAAGAGGCACTGGTCTTGAACGAAAACAGACAGTGATAAGGATCTTTCTTTCAATAAAAAATCTGGAAAATGATACGTATAACTGACTTCTGCATGGCATTTCAAAAGTATAAGAATTAATATAAACAAAGCACAGGATTTTACATCACACAAGCACCACAAACATCCACATAGTTAGCCCTATGAACTTCAACACGCACAATACAATACAATACAATACAATACAATAAAGGAAACGAACAAATATACATTTATTGCGCACAATCCTAACCAAGGACCTCTATTTGTAATGACTTGATTTTTTTAATGGTTTGACAATTTAAAAAATGTGTTAATACTTTAGCAAACCTGACATTAGCATGATGAAGAAGTGTGGCCATAATTTACTTCATTCCCCTTCCCCTGTTTATAAACCATGAATACTCACACCTAGGGCTAGAACATTACTTAAATCACTTCACAGCCTATCAACAATAAAGTCATGGTGTCTTGCCATGACTGGCCAAAAATTGTCAGAACCTGAATGAAAACAACTTTGTTTAACTGTCTGCCCGACTTGGGTTAAAATATACGTTTTTGGAAATTCTAACAATTTCTAATGCATGGTTCAGATATTAGTTCAGGAAGACCCCGGGGAAAAAACCTTATATTACTACTATTTTACATATTTAAATATAATATAAGTTAATCAATGAAATTTTTCTACACTTAAAGTAAAAAATAAAGCTCTATGACCAAGTCCCCCTGAATTTTTTAAAATTAAGAAACAATTGGAGAAAAAAAAAAGGAAACTTGCCTATAGGTTCCTAAACTCACATCCAGGAAGACACGGCTATTTATTTATTATTAATGTCGTATTAAATTTTTTTTTTTTCAGACACATTTTAATACCTTCATCATCTCTAAAACCACAAACAGTCAGCCTGAAATGTAAATATACGAGCAAGCAATTAGGTCTTGCATTAATAACAGAGTTAATTTAATGTGTTTACAGATGTTAGGCCTAGATATAATTGAGTAACTTCCCTGCAACTCAACTTTACCACCTGAAAGTTGCTCAGGCCACGGGAGAGAGAAAACAGCCCTTGAGTTGAGCTAAGCAGGGAGATTACAGCATCATTTTGCTAGGCCTCGGACAGATTTTACTTTGAAAATAATTTCATGTGCGAGGACCGTAGACGTCTGGAAGAATGATGAGATCACACGTATTTTAACCTCAGCAGAGTAGACATCAGGCTTATCTTTCTTTCCTATACGGATTTAAATTTGTTGTACTAATGATAGATGCTGCATCACGAATGACACTATTGCTAACTAAATAAATAGTTTTAGACAAGCATCTCGAATGACAAACACCTGAGGTATAAACAACTAGATTGTTCATTTTCTAGGAAAAAAAACCCAGTTCCCTTGATATCGTTAGCTTGAACATTAATCATTTTTCTAATTAACATTGGCAGATTGAGGCCATAATGACGAAGCATAATAAATTCAATGACGGTATTAACAATAAGAATTATTAAATAATTGTTTTCATAACTCTAACGCTTCAGTGGGATTGCGATTTAAGCTTTTAGCAATAATGTCAAAGTTTCAAAACCCACGCTGGTCATAATTGTGTCCTTGGGCAAGGCAATTTATTTATGTGTCTCCCTCCACCCAGGAATATAATGGGTACTATAAGACGCAAATGTTCTACGTTGAATGTAATTGGTCCACGCTGAATATGACTGGGAATGCTCTCCAGGGAGCAGACGATGCTACTCATTGTGTGGCTGATTGCTACTGTTGCTGCACTTTTAAAAATTCAATGGAATGCTCTATTTTACATTCTAATTAATAAGATTACACTAAGATACCTGTGCATATTATTATGATTTCTGTGACAAATATCTGTGAGCTTTTCATATACGAATGTCATGTCATATCCATGGGCAAATTATTGGTAACTTGATAGTGACATATTTAGAATAAATGAATGTTATATGATGTAATGTTAGCTACCACTAAATGTATTTAAAATTAAAGATTATGGCGTCAATGTCATCAACAACACATCATAAAAGACTTTGAAAACATGATGTACAGTGATGTTATCTGACCACCCCCCCCCCCACTGGATATATTTTCAATACCAAAGTACTGGTCTCCCAAATGGTCCAGTTATTTTTAACAATTTTAGGAATAGAAACTTAATTATAATTAACATAATCAAAATACAAAATCATTAGAATTAAAAAACAAAAACAACAACAAAAGATATAAAACATGAAAGAAAACAGAATAAAATTCAAAGTTAAGAAATAGCACTTTTGAAAATATCCAAACTCATATTGGTAGACCCATACCCTTGTAGACACTTTTGATATTCATATTCATGATATTTCAAACCTGCTTTAAATAGCCTAATTACAATTAAATGATAAAATATTGTTGATACTTATAATCATTCTCAAATATAAAAAAAATCTTGAAAATCAGAAGGAATGTTTGAAACTTAAATTTAATTATATTAGCCAAATATTTGATAGCATGTTTTGAAATCCCAGAACTTCACTCAAATTATATACAATTATAATGATGCGGGAAATGCAGAGATTGACTGTAAAACATAAAGTTTGCTTAGAAATATATGTACAGTACATACACAATCAGATGCATTCAGGCACATATCATATACATGTATTAGTTTCTATTCTTGGCCCTCTTCCTCAGTTGATGTTGCCTTAATTTGAAAAAAAAATTAAATCAACTTTTCTTTTCATTATATTTATAGAGGGTAACCCTTCCAGCTTAGCCAAGCCATCTTACATAAACAAAATAAACATTATAATAATAAGATGCATCAAACCATGTCTCATTACAAGGCTAGGTAGTCAGAAAAACTCCTGCACGGTCACAGGATTTGAACCCAGGGCACTGGAATTGGAAGGCTGGCATCTTAGCCACCAAGCTCAATCTCCACTACACTCCAATAATTTGGCTCTAACAGTCATGTATAATTTTCTTTTTTATTAGTCATATTTTTAAATATTTTTTTTAAATTTAGGGGGCCCAGGCTGGTTGGGCCACAATGAATCCTGTCTTTTGACAGAATTGTGTTCTTATGGCAACCTTACTACATGAAAAAAAAAACCACTCCCATAAGCCTCATTCATAATCAGATTATGTTTATGCAGAGCATATGTGTGTCTGTCTTGTGAAAAGGATTGCCCCTAACTATAGGACATTCATTACAGGACATTCGCTATTGGCAAACTCAAGCCTCAATAAATTAATAAAAATAGGACATTGCCTAACCAAAATAAATTTTTCTGTAAGTGTTACATTCAGTCTCGACTAAAATATGAAATAATTAACATAACCTGAAATTATGGCACAAAAACAAACATAGTTTATCATTCTGAACAGAATAGGAGAAGTATGTCTGTTTTCAATTCCAGTATGTAATTTAAAAAGGTAGTGCGGAAATTAGAGGTTGACAAATTTAGAAGTAGGCTTTATATACCACTTATAAACGTTGAATTGGTCTAGGCTGATAGGACTCCCTGAGGTTAAAGTTCTATGACTAAGTTGCATCTCCGTTGATCGATTATTAAACTCGCTTATTAGTCATTAAGTAGTTTTGCTGAACATTTGATAGAAAAAACAGAATTAAATTATGTTGAATGAATGAATAGTTAACAGTTAATTTTCAGTTTAATCATTTTTTTTTTTAAGGACTTTAAAAAAAAAATTTGGGTTGTTACTGTTG